CCCCAAAACCCCAAAACCCCAAAACCCCACGTATGAGGCAATACTTTATAATTTTAGCTTGATTAAAGAATAATTAATATTCAGAGCATAGTAATGAAGTTTGGACAATAATTTGAGTTTCACAAAATACCCGAATGGTATTCAGAATACTTAAACTACTAAAAACTGAAAGAATTAGCTAAAGGTTTTGATCATCAAGTAAAAGGTACTCCAATATTTTGTTTTCTCCTTAATACCTTTAATTACAGATGGTAGATTACAAAGGTTGAAAGGAATTTATTATCTGACATCCAAAAATTGCGTGATTCCTATGGACATATTTACTCAAGTTTCTAAAAAGTATAGTGGGAGAAGAGCACAAACCTATCATGATCTTGAGAATTAAGACACTGATAGTCTTTAATCTAATGGAAATGCGGAAAATATGCATAATTCTCTCTAATGCAAAGCAGATTTAGCTGGAGCAGACCTTGCTGAGCACTAGTTCATTCAGAGAGAAATTCAATTTAACATAGAACATGAAGGACATAAGAGAAGAAAGCATTCGTCTTATAAAAATAGAACATTCGTAGATTCAATCATCAATATAAGCAATATAGAACTAGATATTAAGGAGGAAAAGTAAAGCTTTATCAATCTAATGAAAGAAAATTCGGGCAAATCTCCAAATCTGAAAAAATATGATATGGAATCTCCTTTACTTAATGTGACTGATAACTCGATCAGGTAGGAGCCAACAGCATTGACAATAGATATTCCATAAATAGACAAAAAATAGATTTAATATCTAAGAATTAATCAAGATGATGATAACCCACAAAGTACGAACTCATATTTTTCAAATATCTTTAGTGCAAATTGAATCAGAGGATTTGATGAAGGATTGGGTAAATATACTTATTACTGAGATTGGCAGAATCGAAACATTTTATACAAGAATGTGTGAAGAATACAGGAATGAGTTCAATATTCTCAATAGAAGATTTCATTCAAAATTTAGTCCTAATAGTCCGCTTTTAGGTGGCCCTGATGGTAGGACAAGCATGAATGGAATAAATGACAGATATGATTAGTAGTCATTCGACGATAGCAAGGTATATTAGAAAAGGAATGAATCAAACTAATATAATTAAAGTGAAACAAGAGGTAAAAGGCACATTGTTTAAGATGAAAATTATCTTCATGTTAACCCAAAAAGCTCTTTTCTTAATGATCATAATAAGGCTGGTGGTGAAGAAGAAATAAGCTAAAATCAACCTAAGCTAGAGCATAAAAACTCTTATTAAAAGCCATAAAGTGGAGTGAACACTCCCATTCTTGAAAGAAGATTGAGAAAATCGTATACAGTTGATGCACAAAAGCTACACAAAGTTAAAGATGAACTTGAATACGCAACTAATTGGAGGAGAGCATTCAGTAAAATTTATGTTCATGTTAAATGGCTTAACGCTTATGCTAAAATTAACTATATTGCATGCTTGAAGTAAGAAATTATAGCAATTTTACTAAAAATTTTAGATTAATTTCAAAATTAATGAAACAATATTTCCTATTAAAGGATAATATTATTGATAAAAAACTCACGTTACTTCTCAATAAGCAACAATTTGCAAAGAAAAGGCTAGCAGCATAGCTTAATAGAGACATCATTTCAGGGTATGCTGATAATTTTATGCATGGGAAAATTGAAAAAGCTATTAAAGTCCTTGATTCTCATCATCATTAAATGAGAAAGAAAGATGGTAAAATTATAAATTTCCATTACAGCTTAAATAGCTGTGCTCATGTCATTTTTCTGCGGACTCCTAACGATGATTATATTTACAATTATTGTATTGCTAATAATTCCTGAATCTTCAAGAGGAGAAGCCTTCGAATGATCTGAGGCAGTGATGGATCTGTATGCCACACTATACACATTCAGATTTTTATTTATGCTTCTTTTCACTTTGCTGAGTACGGGTGTGGTGATAGGAATATTAAAGCACTACAAAATTAATTATCTTTTCATATTTGAGCTCGATCCTCATTATAAAATTACACAGACACAGCTTTTTAGAGTATGCTTTTTAATCAATTAAAATTTTCTAGGTTACTCTGATACTATTCACAATTTTGACATTCTTTTTTATGGGCCAAATATTCATTATTAAGTTGGATTACTTATTTGATCCTAGCGCTGCTTTTAGTTTAGCAGTGATACTAATATTCATCTTGATTTGTTTTCAACCATTTCATTTTTTCTATTAACGGGCGAGATTTGAGTTGCTAATTGTTTTGATTAATATATTCATTTCACCATTCGGAGTCGTACGGTTTAAGCATTTCTTCCTCGCAGACATCCTTACTAGTTTTGTCAACCCATTTAAAGATCTTGGCTCTATTGGCTGTTTTTATTTTAAGGGACTCTGGGAAAATTCTGAATACCCTGATTCTCAAGAATGTCCAGATCTCCAAAATTATACCTTGATAATAGCCTTTCTTCCATATTGGTTTAGATTCGCATAATGTATGAGAAGATACCATGATACAAAATTGAAAGCTCATTTGATAAATGGAGGGAAATATTTTAGCTCTATTCTTATTTAATTGGCAGGGGTCTTTAAAACCAAAATGTCTGGTGATTCTACACTTCTTGTCTTCATTTGCATAAGTATATTCTCTACTTTGTACAGCTACTCTTGGGATCTTTACATGGATTGGGGGTTATTAAGATCACGAGAAAAAGGAAAGCAATTTTTAAGATCCAAGCTCCTCTATCCATCTTGGTTTTACTACTATGCAATAGTATCCAACTTTATCATGCGCTTTTTCTGGATAATATCTCTAATTAAATACGATTAATGGGTTAATGATGCTTAGATAATCGTACTGGTCATGTCCATAGTTGAGGGTTTCAGAAGAGCATAGTGGAGCTTAATAAGAATTGAAAATGAAAATGTAAATAACTTCGAAAGGTATAGAAATATTCTCTAGATCCCTGCATTCAAGGATGAAGATGAAATCGAGACTGATGATGACTCAGGGAAAAAATGATTATGTATTAAACTTATCAATCATCGAATTTAATAAACTAAAATTCTTGTTAATTCTAAATCCTTATTATTATATATATTAAATATCAAAGATGGGCAAGCAAATCTTTAAGAAGGGTGGAAAAACTGCAAAGAAAATCAATTTGAAGTTCTAGATCAACTGCAAGCTTCCAATTGAGGACAACGTTATTGTCTTGAACGACTTCGAAAACTTCCTCAAGCAAAGAATCAAGGTAGAAGGCAAGCCAGGCAACTTAGGAAGCGCAGTGAGTGTTACCAAGGATTCCTCAAACATCATCCTCTAATCCACCGTCCCCTTCAGCAAGAGATATCTCAAGTACTTAACAAAGAAGTACCTCAAGAAGCAAGACTTAAAGGAATATCTTAGAGTTGTTGCCACTAACAAAAACCAATACGAACTCAGATATTTCAACATCCAAAGTGATGAAGCCGCTGAATGAGATCACAGATGAGCAAGGACTTTATTTGTTCTTTATTTTCTAAATTCTAAATCTATTTACTATTTTGCACTATCACAATTTCCATTATTTAATAGCGATGGGGTTTTGGGGTTTTGGGGTTTTGGGGTTTTGGGGTTTTGGGG